ACTGTTGATAATTGATAATACGTCGTCGATATATCGAAATGTCGAGCTGAGGGTCAAAGCAAGTGTTTTCTTCTTCTCATGTAGAAGTTTCTGAATAAATTCTGCTACATATGAATACAAAAATAGGTCTGCTAATAAGGGGGCCCATAAGAATTCCAATAGATTGTTGGAAGACCTGAACTCCAAAAACTACATTGTATTGTGTGTACAATCAGAGTGCTTCTTAAGAAAATAATTTTGTAAATGACCAGTGACAAGGTTAGTATATTTATGAGTTCCATTTTTATTGAAAAAAACAGCTATCTATGATGTCAAAAAGCCTGGACTTCAATTTATCGTGGGAAACGGTTGTATAAGGGGTTGAAAAGTCATACGTTTTGGTGCTATTGATTTTAGTAAAATTTTGTAATTTCAAATTTCCAAAAAGTTCTTTGAAGTTTATACGTATCCACATCTAATTTATACCACTTCTCGAATATACTGCTGTACAGTACTCCTGGAGTTTTTTCTTCATTATAGTAAATATTTTAGCGAGGAAAAAAGATAGAGCCTTGGTAGAACATTTACTGGAACCCGCTGTGTATCTTTGTTTGAAAGGATTTTTATGAAGTTTAGGAATCCAGTATAGGAATGGTAATTCAAATTCATTTTGATCGTAGGAATATTAAATATATCTAAAACGGACATATGATTTTGAAGAATTTCCTCCTTAGAAAGGCCGGTATGGAAGGTGTAAGTTGGATTTACATCTGTAGATTTAAAATTTAGTTCTCCTAAAATACAATTCAAATAATGAGCCTTACAAACAAAGATTATGTTGTTACCAGCTTTGTCAGCTGGGACAAGTACATACTCATCGTGTAATCTATCTAATTCCTTTTTCACTTCTAAATTAAAGACAGAAGGATAAATAGTTTTCATACAACCCTCAATCGCTTAATACGAGATTTCAACATCCATCTGATGTTCTTAATCCATTCTAACAAACTGTCAAGGTTTTCTTTTTCGTATTTGGCCCATCGCCTGGCGTAATCTTCCACATAATTCATAATATTTATAAAATTATGACGCCAGTCGAAAGAATGGAGTTCCCTAAATTTTGGCCCTTTTAAAATAAGGGATTTAAGGTCCTCCCTCATAATTAACTATGTTTACATCACCAGAAATGACGTGTCCTCTTCCTCCTGCAGACGACAAGTGTTCTTTGTAACACCATTTATTCATATCTTCTTTTTCTCTCCATGGTAGGCATGTCTAAGGGAATCGTGAAAATCAAAAAATACTGGCATCAATTTTATATACATCAATTTTATTAACAAGGAATTGATAAAAAAAAAATAATAATAATTAACAAACAGAAAAATTGGCAGTGTTAGTTACAAAATTATCAAAATGAAATCATACAGATGCACTGGAAAAAATACTAGTACAATGAACACAATGATTAAAAGACAAAAATACAAATCGTTCCTTGGATTTCCCTTACTATGATGTTCATCTAGTATTTGCTCTTTTCTATATATGACGAAAACATACAAAAACATTTATACCAAAGAAAATCTGCCAGTAATATCAAATTAGGAATAACTGCATCACATGACTCTAACATAAACTGCTTTTTTTTTTCTCATTTTGTGGAAAGAAATGTGTATTTATTCATACATTTCCCATTTTGATTCAAAAACTAATTATTACCAGAGATATAAATACATTTGTATCAAAAATCTGATGTCTGTCACCTGTCGACTAGTTGAGGTAGAGTCATCGTCACAAACCACGGCCAAAAAGAGCTCTAAGCGGACTCCGGACAGCGGATTGAGACGATGAGGTATAGCGGTCTGAGACAACTAGATATCTAGCGGCTAGGATAGCGGCTTCGATTTTTAACGCAGTTCTGAGGCTCGCAAACCGCTGACTTTCTCCTCTTCTTTACATCCTTTAGCGCCTTCTTTTTGTAGGGAAGAATGATATGGCTGTCCCCTAGGTGGAATGTTCTGTGAGGAACCTTCAAATCAATGTCGGTCACAAGAAGAATTCTCTTTTTTCTAAGTTTATAATGATTGTTACAGCTGCAAGGTAGATCGAGTTTGATGGTTTTTCTCTTAGCCAATGCATCTGTGGCGTTGTAGAAGTTCTGTTTTGCTGTCCCTGTTAATATCATCCTGGGCGATAATTCTTTGGTCCAGTTGAAACATTTGATATGATGGACTTTGACTACGTAACCTGAATAAAGACAGAAAAGATTAACAACACTGCTCTATCAAATCTATTAAACTTAGCAAACCAGACGCTCAATACTTTGCCGGCCTTGCAAGAAAAGCACAGGCCAGCGGATCTCTGAATTTTTCCCTTCGGATGAGAGGTGTCCACACGGCCAAGACCTCCCTCCTCCCCAACATCCCCCCAAAAATATTAATATTTTAACATTTTTGATTGACAAGAACAAAAAAAAACAAGCAAACATAGTGTCCTAGCATAATAAACCTATTTCATGAGGGTAAATTTCTTTTCTCTCTATCGTGATCGGGAGGCCCGGGTTCGATTCTCGTTCGCCGTGGCGTGTCCAACCTAAGACGTAAATATAGGTAGTGGCTAGTGACTGCTCCTTTGCCAATCGCCCGACACTACAAGTGAAAGTCACGGGTCTTTCGGATGAGACCTTAATAATCGAGGTCCCGTGTCACGGTAGGTGTTGGCACGATAAAGAACCCTCAGTGCTCAATGTCGAGTATAGGTCTAAATTTGAAGCCCTTCGCCGGCATATGGTGACGTCTCTATATGAGTGAAAAAACTGGAATGGGACGTTGAACAACATACAAACAATCAATCAATCAATCTTCTCTCTCTCTCTCTCTCTCTCTCTCTCTCTCTCTCTCTCTCTCTCTATATATATATATATATATATATATATATATATATATATATATATATATATATATATATATATATATATATATATATATGATTCTTGCTGTCAATGTAATAGAGGACTTGTTACTTGATTGGTGTCCAAAGTCATTATTCCCTTCCAATCCCGGCTGGATCTGCGTGAGATCATTTCTTTGTACAGCTAGGATCTCTCCTTAACATTTTTAACATTTTTTCAACGAATAATATAAATCTAGTTAGAATAAAGATGCACACTTTACAGGCACGTAGTATCGTTTTTGAAAATGGGCAGCCAGAGAGAGAGAAAAATCAACTTGTCTGGAAAAAAAACTATAGCAAGCAAAGAAAAAAATTGTAGGCTCCAATTTTTCTTTCATAACCAAATTCAGTTCATACATTACCATACTAGTATTACCCTGATTTGACTATACTGCAACAAAAATTAAGTGGGCGGCAACCAGCCTTTCAATCAAAATTTTCAATAGTAAATAGTAATGTTTGGAAAAAAGTGCCCCCTCCCCCCGATACTACGTGCCTGCATTATGTTTCTCGCCATTTCTCCTACAAATATCTAGACTGCCGATGTTCACAGATTTTCTCATATTCCAAGTAGTCCACTTTTGAGAGATAAAACTACAACTGCTACTTTTTGTGGAGGAGCTGGGGGTGTCCGACTGCTCACTGCAACTAAAATTAAATTCACTGTAAATTTATGACCAGAACGATGAAATCAAAATTAGATGTTGATCTCACGAATCATGCTACTGTTATAAAAAAAATGAATTACATGATTACTGACAGTATCTATCAAAACCCCAAAGAGTGCCAGGATAAATGAGAGAAAAGGGACGGGGTGGGGGAGGGGAGGTGAGGTTTTCACTACAAATGCTACTTTGTGTGGAGGAGCTGGGGGTGTCCGACTGCTCACTGCAACTAAGATTAAATTCACAGTAAATTTATGACCAGAACAATGAAATTAAAATTAGATGTTGATCTCACGAATCATGCTACTGTTACAAAAAAAATGAATTACATGATTACTGACAGTATTATCAAAACCCCAAAGAGTGCCAGGATAAATGAGAGAAAAGGGACGGGGTGGGGGAGGGGAGGTGAGGTTTTCACTACAAATGCTACTTTGTGTGGAGGAGCTGGGGGTGTCCGACTGCTCACTGCAACTAAGATTAAATTCACAGTAAATTTATGACCAGAACAATGAAATTAAAATTAGATGTTGATCTCACGAATTATGCTACTGTTACAAAAAAAATGAATTACATGATTACTGACAGTATTATCAAAACCCCAAAGAGTGCCAGGATAAATGAGAGAAAAGGGACGGGGTGGGGGAGGGGAGGTGAGGTTTTCACTACAAATGCTACTTTGTGTGGAGGAGCTGGGGGTGTCCGACTGCTCACTGCAACTAAGATTAAATTCACAGTAAATTTATGACCAGAACAATGAAATTAAAATTAGATGTTGATCTCACGAATCATGCTACTGTTACAAAAAAAATGAATTACATGATTACTGACAGTATTATCAAAACCCCAAAGAGTGCCAGGATAAATGAGAGAAAAGGGACGGGGTGGGGGAGGGGAGGTGAGGTTTTCACTACAAATGCTACTTTGTGTGGAGGAGCTGGGGGTGTCCGACTGCTCACTGCAACTAAGATTAAATTCACAGTAAATTTATGACCAGAACAATGAAATTAAAATTAGATGTTGATCTCACGAATCATGCTACTGTTACAAAAAAAATGAATTACATGATTACTGACAGTATTATCAAAACCCCAAAGAGTGCCAGGATAAATGAGAGAAAAGGGACGGGGTGGGGGAGGGGAGGTGAGGTTTTCACTACAAATGCTACTTTGTGTGGAGGAGCTGGGGGTGTCCGACTGCTCACTGCAACTAAGATTAAATTCACAGTAAATTTATGACCAGAACAATAAAATTAAAATTAGATGTTGATCTCACGAATCATGCTACTGTTACAAAAAAAATGAATTACATGATTACTGACAGTATTATCAAAACCCCAAAGAGTGCCAGGATAAATGAGAGAAAAGGGACGGGGTGGGGGAGGGGAGGGGAGCTAGTTACCTCTCAGCAATACTTTTCACCAAACCATGACAACATTTCTCATTTATTGGATCATAATCCCTTTTTCCTGGGTGACAGCATTCTCTTCCAGTTTCCTTGGCGCCCTTGTGGACCTGATTATTGCAGCAAAGATCTGTCTGACTGTTATACCGCTGGTACCCACAAATTATCGATGGTCTCCTTGGCTGATGTTTGCAGGAGTAGAACTCTGAATTCCGAAGACAGCATTGATCGTGGTCAGAAGCATTTTTCTTTATTATTTGGTCACCACTGCAGCATAAGTGTGACGTTGTTGAATATACGTCTTTACCACAACATTTAGGGTCGTTCACGTGTTTTATGTTATGCACTTTACCTGAAAAAAAAGCATCCATTTTTATACATGGAAGATAATAATAAAATTATATTGACTCCTTTTTTGATAACTTTAAAAAAAATATAATGGCCAATATATATACATGTACCTATTAGGAAACGTACCATGACAGCATGTTTGTTGTCTTTTGTCATATGAACCGTTCCCACAACATTGAATTGTTCCATTTGATGAGTCGTATACGTTGTTACAACAACAGATTTGACTGGAGGAATTGTAAACACCTACAAGAAATTAACCGGCTTCGGAGTTCTAATATACAAATATTAAGTTGTGAAAATCAAGCTTTTCGATCTGTACAAATGAAATTGTGCATCAATCATGGGTTTTTCTACGATAATGAACATTACATTTAATCTGAAGAGAAGCAAATCGATTAAAAAGTTTCATCATAAAATGTCTTTCTACCATTTTATGTCACATTATTTTGATAACTCACCTGTCCCACAACAGTGCCCATTTGAGGACTGGACTTCGGTTATACCTGCCAATTTACAGCACTGTTCCCGCCTGTTATCAAACAAAGACTCCCCGCAGCAACGGAAATGTCTGTCAAAAGAGGATTTGTTGTAGAGTTCGGATTCGTCGCAGCATATCTGTTTCCCTTTATCGTATAGTATTCCATTGCAAAAGTCATGGAACCGTGGAACAATTTGGTTTTTTTTCGCAAGCTGATATAGTCTTGTTGAAAGGAGTTATTTCATTACAGCAACCATTTTTTGTCGATATTAACTGATTTCCACAGCATTGAGTGTTCCTTTCTGAAGAAGAAAATATTTTGAAACACCTTCTTATTACATATAATAATTATGAATGAATTATGGACAAAATGTTAATACATTTGCACTGAATAGATTCGAGATACAAACAATCATACATATACAGATCGAGATGCAAACTTGAGAGATCAGTAATTCTCAACAAATCATTAAATTGTTACGAAAGACCCCTTTGGGGTCATCCCGTTACAGAATTAGCAACTGTTTTGATTTCGCAGGTACGTTAAGGCTTCCCGTAGAATATCACAGTGCACTCTGTGCCTTCACATCTCTGAACTACCAGAATATGACGTCATAATGGAATATGACGTCAAGTCACTGCAAACTTGAGGTGTTATGACGGGGAGAGTGTCATGTACTCTACACTTTATTTCAAACTGCATGTAACATGCTAGATAGCTATTGCAAAATTTACGGGTCGTTAAAGGTTTTTTAAGTCGTATATGTCCGAATAATTTAAAAATACACCGCTTACCTACCTTTGACTGAAACTCAGCATGTTCAAAATGCTTATGAAAAATATACTTTTGAAATGTACTCTGTTTTATACCCGTGGTTGGAGGTAGAATTTATTTTGTGTGTATAAAAGAGTCTGGCTCAGGTGATTAATGAGGATTAATCTGAGAATTTTTGTGGAAATCAGTAAGAAGAGGATGTTCTCTAACTGAATCTTGCTTGGGAAAAATGTGTGTTGGCTTTATTTTAATACAGATTACGATATTATGTGGAAAATACCCTCAAATTTGTAGGTAAGTTGAATATCTCAAGAAATATTTTGTATCTAAGTAATACTATGACTTTTCCCAAGCACATTTCCGATACACAAGGATACGATGAGTTTATTTATATAACAAAATGTTAATAATTATTGTGTTAATCAGCTGCGCCGAAGCGATTTATATGAAACACTTCAAAAAATTATAAATGACCGTCACGTGATCAGCAAAGTCATGTGATATCATAACAAATATGTTAATATATAGCCGAGTAAACCATCTATATAAATTGGGAGTACTTAAGTTCAATACTTATAAATTAAAACCAAAACTGACCTCGCAATGACATATTATTTTTTGAGCGCATTTTAAACCTTCCGGAAGCTTTAACATAGCTGTGTTAAAAAAATGTTTTTATTATAAATTATAAAATGTAATCACAAAAGACATACATTCAGCAGATATACATATTACAGAACAGACAAAGCAATATAACCATCTAAATAATATGTCTTTTTTCATTTAATTGATCATGAATAGTGTCTCTGCACGTTTCACAACTACGTGTCCTAAGAGAGGACGGACACTCATAGACGAACATCAAAAAAGAATATTTTCTTTTCTGTTTGAAAACGTCTTGATGGACAGACGGTTAATGTAATTACTATATGCTCCCGAATATTTCAGCAAGGTAGCGATAAAAGATCACACTTGAAGTACAAAAATCAATGCATTTTTTTTATATATTTACAATGATAAAGGAATTATTTTCGTCTATTAATTGTAATTACAAAAGCCACGAGGGATCCCTCGTCATGCATGTTCCATAGATTTCGCGTAGTTTTCATTCATATGCGATCTCCGTAAACAACACTCGATATTGTTGACAGTTTTAGTTCTTTTGGAAAATCGTTTATTAGGTCCCGTGAGTCACTCAGTTGACCAACTGCTATCTGTTTTCGGCCGTCGTGCGTTAACATTTGAACACTATCAGCTTCTTCTCTGAAACCACTGAACCGATTTTGGCATAGAATGTCTTTGAGTAAAGGGGAACAAAAATTGTGAATTTTATAATCCCTGCCCTTCCGAAGCCTTAACACTACTGGCCTAAAACATTACTGATAGTGCCACTTTTTACTGATAATTTCTGATATTTACTGATATTATACTGTTGGTACTGAGAATTTCTGATATTTGCTGATATTTTTAGTGTTGTTACTGATAATTGCTGTTGGTTCTGATAATTACTGATATTTACTGTCGTTTTTACTGTGGGTTCTGATAATTACTGATATTTGCTGTAAGCCGTAGATATTTAGAATTTGTAACTTGAGTGACAGCAAGGAAAGTATACATTTTTTCATAAAAAATTATTTTTATGTAATTATATATTTGAAAAACTTGACTATTTCTCTTTCTGTAAGAAGATTCATCCTGCCCCCCCCCCCACCTCCTCTTCATCCTGTTCTTTAGTTCCTAAAGAGCTGTATTATTGCAATCGGTGAAGTAGGCTTAAAAGGACGTAATAAATCAGTTTCAATTTAGGCACTATCAGTAATAATTTAGGCCAGTAGTGTAAAGGTTGGACTAAAACCATCAAAATTAGAGCTATCTTTAAAAATCTTTCTTACTCTTGGATATCAAGCAAACTGTTGGCATGATTGTATTAAGCATATAGCCTTCTATCAATTTTTTTGAAATTCATGGCCCATGCAATTGGTCATGGTGTTCTGGAGTAAGGGTGGAGCTCTAATGATTGTACAGTGAAAATGCAAACATTTTTTTTTTTTTTAAATCTTCTTCTGTCCCCAGTATATTAATAAAATAAACTAGATGCATGATTATGATGATCATGGGTGCATCTTCTGAAATTGTGAAATTTGTTACCCCTTGGTGAGGGGTTATGCAGGGGCTCTATTGATTATTTAGTGAATATGCATTTATTCTTTTAAAATCTTCTTTTCTGATCCTGTGAACTAAGCAATCAACCCATGAGCAAGGTGCTTCTTCCAAAATTGTGAATTTAATGGTCCCTGGGTAAAGGGTTCTGCTGAAGGGTGGGGCTGTATTGATTATAAAATGAAAATGCATTATTTCTTCAAAAATCTTCGTTTCTGTTCTTGTGTATTAAGCAAACAAACCAAAAATAAAGTTATGATGAGCAAGGGTGCCTCTTCCAAAATTGTGAATTTCATGGTCCCTGGGTCATGGGTATTGATGTTACATGTAGGGTGTGACTCTATTAACTATATAATAAAAATGCATTTATTCTTTCAAAATTTTATTCTCTGATCCTAGGAATTTATTAGATAAACTTAGAACATTGTAATGATGATCAAGAGTGCATCTTCTAGAATTGTGAAATTCGTGGCTCGTAAAATTTTGCACGTAAAATTACTTTTTATATCTGCTCGTTGTAAAGACATCTAAAAATTTAACATGGGTCTTTAAAAAGATTTTTTATTTATAAGAAAAAAAATAAAAAGAGCACAGAATTCACAAAGAGAAAAACAAAGTTCAACATCATTAATAAAGATGAAAACGTAAATTTAAGCGAAAAATTCAGATATAATCAGGATTAAACGAAGATCGGTTGCCCGAAAAGAGCTAGGTTCACTTTTTGCATAAAATGGCCCCTGTAGATATACCAATTAATTGACTAACACTTTATGTTCCATTTTAAACAACAAGATAAAGTAGAGACTTAGTGCTTTCATTTCCTATTAAAAATTTTCTCCTTATAGCCAAGGTCTTGGAAAACAGGGCTCATGAAATTGCAATGTTCTTGAATTTTAAGGAAAATAAGTATATTTGAGTACTTTCACAGAAGAGAAATAATATGAGCGCATCCTCTGACCTAAAAAAATAAAACAGGTTTTGTAATCCTCAGAAATAGTTCTATCATTTTATAGTTGCATATTTAAGATCAGAGGTTACGCTCTATATCAAATATCGAAAAATAGCGTTAAAAATTGGCTGTTTTGTAGAATTTTTCACGATATGAGGAAAATAACGCATTTCATGACGTCATAATGCATTGGCTAGACAGAAAATTACGTCATTTTTGACAGATACGCAGTCATCAAAGGTCTAAATGATATTTGATGCATTGTCAACTAAAACCAAGCAGTTTCAGTTTTTCTGAAATTCACAGGGCCAAAAAAGGCCCTAAGTGAACCTTGTTCTTTAATATTGAAACCACTACACTAGTGCAATGTACCAGCCATCACCGATGTTTACCTTGCACTCATTCCCTGAAGTAACGAGTGTCAGGCAGGTTAATCTCTTTTTCTTATAGTGTGGAATTATAGGATGAAAACTAGCCAGCTAAATTTTGTGCAAGTACTAGTAGATTTACATCGGATTTGTTACTCGAGTTTTAACAATAACTGATAGCAGAGAAAATAATCTGTTACTGATAAAAACTAAAAAAGAAAAAAAAATACTGCATTTACCTCCTTTATTCTTTATGCATTCAACTTTCTATTCTATGCAATTCCAAATTCAGACATGTCCGTGTAATCTTTTTCTGTACTTCTACACTACTGCATCAGACCATTTGTGAAAGGCGGGTCAAGATAATTATTTCGCGCCAAACGTCACGAGTAAATCGTCGCGCCTTTTCTTTGGAATGTGTCTTCAATTGAATAAGTGTACGTGATAGCTTCAATGAATTTAAAAAAAATATGTTGCTATAGCCTGATTTTCTAGCCAAAGAATGTATATTTATCACACTGTACATAAAATATATACCGTATACGGGCAAGTAACATGAAGGCAGCGCTAAGTTTTCTTACACATTTTATATTCCTCTTTACCCCCAAAATGGATTATTCCAATTTGTAACACATTAATGAAAAGACTGGAATGTTTCGCAACAAAACACGTCTCGCCATATGACGCTCAAGGAATCTTATACCTATTTTGTTTATTACTTGCATCTATAAAGGAATGTTGCTCTACTAAAATCAAAGAAAAATATCATTAAAGTTTATTTTTCTCTCATTTGAAATTGCTATATGTTATTCAATCAACATGAGAAAGTAACAAATTCTACTTTCAAAATACAATTCGGCAACTCTCC